CTCATGACCACGTCGCTGGGGATGAGGTCCTCCTTCGACTTGTCCAGCTTTCTCATCAAGGAATAGGGAAGGATGTTGACCGTCGCCCCACAGTCAACGAAAACCTTGGATATGGGCACGCCCTCTATGTCAGCCGAGATATACAACGGCTTCAAGTGCCGGTATTTGTTCGACTCGTCTCTTGGTATCACTTCGTTAAACGCTACGGCCAGTAATTCCTCCTTAGTCTTTGGTCTCTGATCAAATTGCTCCTCGGGCACGTCATCCTCTAAGCCGTTGGTCTGTCCTCCTGGGGCTGAAAACTCGAATGGCAGCACCATGACCATGTTGATGCCGACTTCCTCCAGCTCCTGCGGGTTTTGCCTACCGGCTTCTTCTTCGGTCTCAGAGCCATCTTTGGCGAGAGCCGTTTCCTCGACCATCCCGAGGATTCCCTCATATTCTTCATCGGAGATTCCTATTGTGGGGTCGTCCTCGGCCTCATGCCCGAAGAGAGGATCTCTGAAACCCTCGTCCATGAGCCTCATGGCCCTCGGACTATCGGTTGTGGACGCTTTGACCTCAGGGGGTTTTGAGGTTTCGACCTCCTCTTTGAGGGCCCGTCTAGCCTCTGCCAATGCGTCCCTGGCTACTAAGTAATCGTCTAGGCGGCTTACTCGGCCCTCTTCCTCAGTCGTCAAACCAAAGAACGTGTCTGCCGGTGTCACAGCAAAGTACCGGCGGAGATATTCCAAATCGCCCCTGCTAAAGGGGATTTTAGCCTCTAATCCGCCGAGGTTGGGATGGTAACTTGGCAGGCCTCTTGTTCTGGACTCCCTGTTCGCCTGGTATACGGCCTTAATGGCCGAGTTAGAATCACTGGTGATGAGGAGCGCTTCTGCCTTTGTGTTCTTGAGGGCCAATTCTACGATTTCTCAGCTCTCAGGGTTCATGCCGTGCAGATCCATGGCCGAATGGTCCTTATGGAATTCTCTGAGGAAGGACAGACCGCTGGCCGAAAAAGGGGGATCCCTACCGTGGTAGATGTCGACGACACCTTCGTCTGTTCTTTCCATGACCGCGGCCTTTGGCTGAGCTGAATTGGCCGACGAACCACGGGGACTTTTGTCTTGCCTAGGGCGCCACGCCCTCAAAGGCTTGGTGCTGGCTGCTCTCACGGCCGGGGAGACAACTGGTTTAGATGACGGCCCGTCAGCAGTCGCCACTTTCTTTTGGCCTTTGAAGCCCTCGACCTGCCTCTGCATCCTGGCCTGCTGAACCTGCCTCTGCATTCTTCTCAGCTGGGTTTTCGTCAGTGGTTCGGCCCTGCCCCCAGGCCGTGCATGGTTCCAACGGTCATCCTTTATGACTGGTGGTTAGAAAGTTTTTATCGACCTAGGGGCGGCCTCTTCTTCGTGGCTGGCCGAGGCGCTGGGGTTTTGTGGCTCTAGTCGGCTGAAAACAGCTCTGCTGGTCGGCCGTCGACCGTACT